GAAATAGGATATAACTAAACAAGTTTTAAACAAATAGGTCAGTTATTTTATGTTTAAATTATCAATTAGTTAGTTAGAAGAAGTTGGAATAAATAATAATAATTTGTGTGATTTCATTACAAATAATAAAAAATGAATAACAAGAAAGGTTTTGACTTTGTTGTTTCATTTCATTAACTTAATAATTTCTTATCAAATGCAACATTGCCGCTAATTACTTACACAAGAGAAAGCGATTTCATACAGCCAAGCGAACAATATATGTCAATCAATCAATCAATCTTCGTTTTGCGTCCAGAGACCCGGTACCCCGAGGTAGGACGTTTTCTTTGCCATCAACATTTTGCGCCAAATTAGACGATCAGTTGTATCCATTCCAACTGTTTTAACAATTTTAACAATATATGTAACTTAGTTAAATAATGAATTACCTTTATGGATGCATTTGAAAATCAATAGTTCAAAAAAATATTTTAAATCAGCTGTAAAAGAAAACCAAAAGGACAAATGAAAGTCATCAAAAGGAATATTCAAAGTTGAGTAGAGACACAGTATATATATATATATATATATATATATATATACAGAGTAGAGACACAGTATATATATATATATATATATTTGAACATCTGGGCACAACATACACACAACGTATCAATTTGAACACCAAAGATAGTATAGGAATACTGAAAAATGCTTTTTTGTTCTATCATGCATTTGATAATCCAAACTTTCGGTTTGAACTAAAGATACTTGAAAATGATTTACGATCAATCGTTAGAAAAATTGATAAGTTAAGTTTGAAGTTAACACCGAACATGCTGTGATTTTCATCAATAATTGCATTTCTGTCGGTCTTAATTCAATTTATATGTATATATATATATATATATATATATATATATATATATATATATATGTGTGTGTGTGTGTGTGTGTGTGTGTTTGTGTGTGTCTGTGTGTTTGCGTGTGTCGCGGATTACTTTTAAGAAACTTGAGAATGATTTACGATCAAACGTTAGAAAAATGGAAAATTTAAGTAGGAAGTTAACTAACGCCGAACATGCTGTTATTTTCATCAATACATGCTACCCATAGTCCAAAAACCGTCGAGGCCGATAGCATTAATTTTTTTCCAGAAACACTGTCCTGAGTCGGCTTGCGTTTTTGCCATCCACTCCATTCTTTAATATCATCTAACCATCTTTTTGCGAACTTTCATTTTTCTCTTTTTCTTCTGTTCCGCAATACATGCAATTCCGCAGTATAGCAACACAACTATTTTTATGAGCCTGTCATCTTTCATCCAACAAATGTGTCAAAAAAAAACTTTTTTCTAATATTTTCGTCGTTATTGTCTTTACCCTGGTAATTTGGACTCTTATAATTTTGTTTGTTTTTTTTCTGTCCATTTTACACGGAGCATTTTTCTCAAATGCAACTAGTCTTTTTTTGTCTTCTTTCTTCAATGTCCATGCTTCACATGCATACAATAATCTTGACATTACACATGAATCCATTAAATTAAGTTTTATTTTTATCCTTTTCCATATTCCATTCAGTGTTTCATACGTGTCCACTGCGACCCAAATTTTTTTGATAATCTCTTTTCTGCTAATTATAAGCTGCGATTATTATCTTTTTTGTAGTCAGGCTTCCAAGGTATACAAACTGATCTACCTGTTCAACATTTCCTCCATCGAGCCTTATGTCAGCTTGGGTATGTTTTCCTTTTACCATAACTTTTGTTTTTTCTTTATTTATCATTAGTCTATAACTTTTTCCGCTTTCATAAATTTCTGTAGTTAGTTTTTGCAAGTTTTCATCGGTTTCTGACAGAAAATTCTTATCATCAGCAAATCTTAAATTATTAATTTTTCTTTCCCGTGTTTCAATTCCTTCAGTATAATTACATTGTATTTTTATTTTTTCCAAATTTTTTTTAGGATAGTCAAAAAACATAAGTTGGGATAAAGGTTTTCTTTGTCAATTGCCTACAGTCACTTTAACCCATCTGATTATTTAGTCCTTCCTTTGTCCCTACTGCCATTATTGATTTCTAGTGCAGATTTTTTATAATTTTTATTAATTTACTCAGTGTTCCACTGGCTTTCATGCTTGCCCATATACCATTGTGCCCAAGTGAATCACAATTTTTTTGATAATGTATCTTCTGAATCCCGTTTGTTTTTCCCTCAAGTTTGTTATTCCTTTCACTTTTCGTAACAGAATGTTTAATATCACTTTGCATGCATGTGGAATGAGGGCTATTGTTTGAGCAATCCGTAAGGTCTTCTTTTTTTGATAATGTGACTAATATTGACTCAAGCCAATTCTCAGGCCATCTCATATCTTCTCATAATTTTTTGCATATTTCCCACATTTTGTCAACAATTTTCGAACTGCCGGTTTTAATTATTTCTGCTAGTATACCGTTTATTCCGCATCTTTTATTGTTTTTAAACATCCTTATTTCTTTTTCAATTTCAAACTTTATTTTTCCAATTTTCATTTTCTGCTGATTTCCCTTTAAAATCTTCCAATATTTTTTTTTCATATGTGTTCTCGTCTGTGTAAAATGTTTATACATAATCTGCCCATTTTTCACTAATCTGTCTGTCTTATTTTTTCAAGCCTGTTTTGCTTTCTTCATTTGTGTGAGTTTAGTTTGTAAGTTACCAGTTTGTGATCGGAATCAATATTTGCTTCTGGATAACTTCTACATCATTTTACTGCTGATTTCCACTTTTGTTCTTCATTAAAAAGTCTATTATGTTTTTGTTCATTCCATCGAGTGATGTTCATGTCCATTTCTGTTTTGGTCTTCTTTGGAATCAAAGTATTAACGATATAAAGTTTTTTCTTTTCGCTGTATATTCCTATTCAAGCTTTCCAATCTCCTACCAAGAACTAAACCTTGCTTTTTGGAATTTCATTCTACACTTTTTTTTAAATCTTTGTAAAATGCTTCTATTTCTTCTTTATTGGGGTCTGTAGTTAGCGATTATGTTACAATTACTATGATGTTTCTAGGATATCCTCTGAAACTTGTATACATTAGCTTGTCATTTAACGGACAAGAGTGTCAGTGTCAGCAGTGTAACCAGTGGTGTCACAAACGTTGTTCAAAAATAATTGGTACTTTATCTAAAGTGTCCAATTTTGTTTGTCCTGCTTGCATCAATCCACAACAACAAATTCGAAATAGCAATGTTTTTGAAGCCATTAAGGTAGAGAAAGTCATATTGTTTCAATATCTAGGGGATGTTCTGGATTGTACTGGAACAGCTGAAGCTGCCGTTCGAGCACGCATACGTGCAGCCAGGAATAAATGGCATCTCCTAGCTTCTATATTGATGCGGCGTGACATCCCACTACCACTACGATCAAGACTTTATAAATCTGTGATACGTCCGGTGTTGTCATATGGTGCAGAAACATGGCCAATGACAACTAAACTGAAACAACAACTTCAACGAACCGACATGAAAATGCTCCGATGGATGCAACGAATTAGTCTGAAGGACCACATCAAATATACCGAAATCTTGCGTCGTGCTGGTTTAGATGATATAAAGGACGAATGCCGGCAACACCGTCTGTGGTGGTTTGGTCATGTCAAACAAAGTGGAAACAGTGCAATAAGTTCTCTTGCAGATGTTGAAGTACCTGGCACACGTCCCAAAGGCCGTTCAAAGAAGTTCTAATCGCAAACAATCGAGCAAGACATGAAAGCTCTAAATATAAATGAAATGGATACAACTGATCGTCTAATTTGGCGCAAAAAGTTGATGGCAAAGAAACCAACGTCCTACCTTGGGGAACCGGGTCTCTGGACGCAAAACGAATATTGATTGATTGATTGATTGATTGTCATTTAATGGACAATAGCTTATTAGGGACTTTTGTGCTTTTTCTGATAGCAACATTCCTATTATTCTTTCGTGCGATTTGCTTCCTAATCAAATTATTTCACCTCCGTTTATTTTTCCCTGGCCTGTCCATCTTACTTCACACAATCCGATGATGTCATGCCTGTACTTTTGAAGAATATTATAGTTGGAATATATTGTTAAAATATTTAAATTTTTTGTGGTCAGTTCACGTTTCACGTAATCATGTCACTGGCTTAATTTTTTCATATTTTAGTTTCAATTAAAGTTTGTTATTTTCTTTGTTAGTTAATTCACAAGTGCCATAACTTTGAAAACGCTTCTGTATAATTTTCGTTTTAGAGGCTTATGAGATTTATTTGAATTTAGGGTTTTCCAGATTTCTGAGTGCGTAATTCGAAACGATGTTTAAAAGTATGTTGGACGGAATGGCAAAATAATGTGAAATCTTGATTCGGTTTGCAACCACTCTAGTGCATTTAAAATTAAAACATTTTTATTTTTGCTGTTACTATTACAATTCTTTTATTTGTTTTACTATTTTTTAACAAATATGTATTTTTTTAAACACAAATATTGTTTTTTTTATATCTGTGTAGGGTATAGGAATAAAAACGGAGAACAATTGAAACTAATTTTAAAATGACAACTGAAAACCGATTAAGCGAACTTAGTTAAGATAGACTGACATTGGCAAAACAATGTGACCATAAATACAATTATTAACCTTTTTTAATAGATGGATAGATAGAAAAGTCTACACTGGTTGGTGTTTGTAATGAGTGTTACTGCACTGGATCTGAGTGATATAATTTTTTCTTATCCAGTGCGGCACATATCTATATTATCATTAAAAAAGTTGTGCTCAAAAGTATTGTTGAAAATATTTTTTAAATTTAATTTTGTAAGGAATGATATGGTTAAACGTTCATGCAACGTGAATTGCACGTTGCATTATGCGCATAATTCCGGTACAATTTTTGCATTCATAAAATTAATTTTTGTGATATATGGATGGTGAAAATGTTCAAGAAAAATATATAGTTTAATAAATATATACTAATTTTTTACTCGGAAGAATTTGATCGTTATAAATATCACCAACAGAATCCCGGTTATGCTGGAAGACAAGAATTACCTGAAAATTTAAAAGTTATGTTTCGGACAGTTGCTATGATGGTCCCAGACAGAATGATTATTATTCGCATTAAGTTAGCAAGCAATGGATTTTTAGAAAATGTTCTGCTATCCCAAAAATTTTATGTCCTTTATAAGTTATGCGAAGAACAGTTGTCTAAACAAGTATTCATCACATAATAACATTTGTATTATTATAATGTGTCAAATTTCGTTAATCAAAGGTCCACTATGATTTTGGACTGCGTAACATTCTATCAGTGTTAAGGACCTTGGGAGCTGTTAAAAAAACGAGTATAAATGAACAGGAATCTTTTATTGTAATGAAATGTTTAAAAGATCTCAACCTTTCTAAACTTGTATAAATTTTTTCATCATGTTGTGTTTCAGCTTAAACTTATTCATTAAAATATTGTTGAAGGTTGATGAAGATGAACCTCTGTTGTTAAGTCTTATTGATGATTTGTTTCCTGGTATCGTAACACAACCAGTTTCGTACCAAAGTTTACAAGCAGCCATTTCTAACAACCTTTTGGCATATAAATTGATAAATTATCCGGCATGGAATCTTAAAATTTTACAAGTATATTATTAATAAAATAATTATTAAATATTATTATCTGATGATTTATTTTTTTTTTATTTTACATTAATTTAAAATTTAAAATTAAATTTGTTACTGTTTTAATTAAAGTTAAAATTTAAATAATTTTCCACTTTTTTGCAACGATCGATTCCTACATTGATATTTCCACTATTTGGAGCAGTGTAAGCAAAACATTGCAACAATTGAAAACTTGCTACAAAATCATTTTTTAGACTCCTGTTGTTAAAAAAGGCTAAAAGGTTAAAGGTCACTCTCTTTTGCACTTGTTTCAGAGATATCAACGGCAAAAACACACTCTCTGTTATGGGTAACGATCCAGAAACATATCTTTCAAATTGCACTTTCGTTTTTGTAACTCTTCTTTGAGATACACCAATTTAAGTTGATGTAGTTTCGTCATGTTTTTTATTACAAAATAACTTGTCGATGAAAAATAAATATAATTTTCAACAACGATGCTCACTTATTTTCCACCAAAGATCCCATTTCTGACACCAATGTTATAACTGTCCCGGTCGACGACGAGTTTTTTAATCCCAGTGAAAAATATTGACAAAAAGTAACCTCAAAGTTATCTATTGATTTACAAAACAATAATAAATCAAATAATCAATAATCGACGTTATTTAATTTCACTATTCAAAGTTAATGTTCACAAACTATCAAATTAACTTACAGAAACTATCGCTTTTCGAAAAATAATTCACTAACCTTTATAAGCAAATACGATAAAAAGACAGTCAGATATCATATATCGCTTTCGACACTAACAATCAATCGCTTTCTAATATCAAATATTCAACAACAACCATTCAATATCTAGTATGCCTCTATATACCCGTTTTACCAACGCTTCTCGAACGTCCTAGATATCTCGCTGTCGGAAGTTTCCAGTCCCTTCTCGAACTGTATGCGTTCGTAGCGGTACTAGCCCTCTAGCGAATACATTTGTGACCGTTATAACAATTCTGTGCATTCCTCTTTTATTTGCTCCAATTATATCCCTATTTATAAAATTATATATATATATATATATAATATTTAAATTAAATACACACACACACACACACATATATATATATATATATATATATATATATATATATTTCAGCTATGCAAATTTCATTGAATATTTTTGCCCACTTAGCATTAACTATCTTTTTGAAAATACACGCAACGAAATGGAATTGTTGTAAATCGTATTTATTGAGAACTAGTGACATAATTTGGCTAACAACGTTGTTTCAATGTAAACACCATCTTCTGAGCCTTGTTTGAGTTACAAATATTGCAATAATAGGAAATGTAAACCAAATAAAATAAAATACTTAAAATGTTACGTGTTGTGATTTAAAACAGGCCAAATGAAAAATAGCAATATATGAATAAATAATTTGAAGAGTTAGGTTAAACGCAAAATGTTACCTTGTAGTGCAGATGAAATTGAATAGTTAGTGAAATAAGTTATAGTTTAACATTAAAAAAAATAATGCTAAGTGGGCAAAAATATTTAATGAAATTTGCATAACTGAAAACCTCGTCCATATATATAGGGTTCAACAAAATTTCCAGCAATAAAATTTATAAGGTTTTGTCAAATGTGAGCTATTGTGTGCCGCATAGCAATGACTGCCAATGGGGACACCGGCTGTCACTTTGTCTGTAGAACTTCTGACGGAGGCTTCGTTGACTGCCGACGTGTTGTCACCTCAATGCTGCTGAAATGCCGTGTCGTTTATTAAGCACACTGTCAATTCACGTTTACTGAATTGGCGTGTAGCTTGTTGAACGTGTTGTCAATTCACGTTTGCTGAATTGACGTGTCGCTTATTCAACATAGTGTCAATTGCTGAAGTGACGGGTAGATTGTTGAACGTGCTGTCAATTCACGTTTGCTGATTTGACGTGTCGCTTATTGAACATAGTGTCAATTGCTGAAGTGACGTGTCGCTTGTTGAACGTGTTGTCAATTCACGTCTGCTGAAGTAACGGGTAGGTTGTTGAACACGTTGTCAAATCACGTTTGCTGAATTGACGTGTCGTTTCGTTATCAGGGTTTGCCCTGACTGCTATGGAATTTACCAAATACTTCCACCAACTGTACTACCACCAACCTAACTGCTTCTACCAACCACACTAACTACCAACGTACCTCGAGAGTTTTAACTATCGCTAACTACGACCGACTAGCCTCCACCAACACCAACAGAATTATCGCTTGTCCTTTCTTTTCAAACTTCCCGGGTGTGTTTATTTAACCAATTCTGTAAACACCGCGGATTAGTTACTATTTTTACGTGCTTCATTGCCATTGGTCTATCACTGATATCATAATGTATTCGTACCATTTGCATGTTTTTGTGAGTATATTCGCGATGTTTTTACTTCCCGCCCGGTATTTCATATGAAGATCATACTCCTGCAAGGCTAGCACCCATCTCATCAATTTTGAACTTTGACAGAAATCCCACTTCTGGCACAACATTGTGACGCCTTGTTGAATGTTGGAGTTGGTAAAAGGGTGCAAGTTGGAAAATTTTTCAAAAGACCCTTTTTGAAGGTCCAGGTACAGTGGAAATAATTCTGCGATGCTCTGGTTGATAGTGGAGTCGAGGTATGTTGCATCAGTGAAAAATTCTTTGATGCTTTAAATCTAGAGCGGATGGGCCAACTACGGATTGTAGGATTGGATGGACAAAGTAAAAAGGTTGACGCTACCTGGGTAACGGTGACTCCCCAAATAAAACACTGTGAAGTCATCACACCAAGTGTGGAAGTTTGGTGTGCCATTATACCAGATGCCCACGAAAAGCTACTTATCACTCCCGATGTAGTTGAACGTTTGAAGGGGATAGAAGAATATGCAGTGCCGTTGGTGAGTTTAGAAGGAGATACAAGAAATGCTTCGGGTAAAGCTATTCAAAGAAGGATAAAAACATTTGATGGACTAACGCAAGAAGGTAAAGGACAGATGTTTTACGATCCGGAGGTTGGGCTCACACAATGAGAACCATGGAATCAAGAAGCTAATAATAATAATAATAATAAGAAGAAGAACATTGATCACATTAGTCAATTTGATGTTAGCGAATCGGAGAAAGGGTAATGTCAGGCAGTCTGTGGTCATCAGATTTGGGGAGGAGGAGGAGGAGGAGGAAGAATTTGGTAAATGTAATTCAGATGTCAGTGGTGCACGTAGGGCAGATGTCGGTAGGGCAGGTAGCTCCAAGGTGGGGACAGAGAAAGCAGATGTCAATAGATCAAATAAGCACAGAATATCTAACACAAATGTTGGTGATTCAGATGAATCAAATGCCGGTGGTGTCCGTAAAGCAGACGTGGCTGGGTTTGTCAAATCAGAGGTCAGCAGTTTAGAACAGGAGGATGACGAGGAAGATGGTCTGTTTGATGATAATAGTAATAATAGTGGTAGGTCCGATGTTTGGATAATAGATGAAGAAGATGATATTGGTATATCACCTGAGGACGAAATATGTAACAATTGTAATGTTAAAATGGTGAAAGCTTTTGGTGGACCAGTGGTAGAAGAAGACGACAAAGATAACATTAGTAATGGTGGGTTAGTAATAGAATCGGAGTAGGTAAATGATGAGGATGGCGATGACAAAAGAGTGAACGATGAAGGGGAAGATGACACCTACATGACAGGTACGAACGACTGCAAGGAAGTTGGAATAAAAGCACAAAGAGGGTGCACCATGGGACGGAAGAAATTCATTCAAGAACAACGAAACTGTCCCTCACTGAAAAAATATTGGCAGTATGCTGTGGTCAACAAAAAAATTTCTGTATTGAAGATGATGTCTTATATTACAAGGAGACGGTTATGGGTCACAAGAAGATACAGCTGTGTTTGCCTACGTGTAGGATCAAAACAGTATTGGAATTGGGGCATGATGCGCCAACGGCTGGACACAGGCGGCCAAGTCGTTGAGTTTCTCGTTTCCCAAAATGTTGAACAATATATGCAATATTGTAAACCGTGTGAAACCTGTCAGTTGAGAGCTCCTACACGGATGTCAGAGAGAATCCCCATCACTCCTATCTCGAGGAACGATGAGATGCCGTTCTCCCATTTAGTCGTGAACTGTGTCGGACCGATGGTAACTCCGGAGGCAGGAACCCAACCACAATACAATTATGCCTTGGTGGTAGTGGATTTGTTCACAAAATGGCCCATGGCATACCCCATGAAACGCATCAACGCCGGGGTCACGTGTGACATTTTTTTAAAGATTTTTATGACCTTTTCTGTACCGAGGATTATCAGTTCAGACCGAGGTACCAATTTCACCGGTCGTCTCACCCAGGGAATGTTAAAGAGATTGGGATGCAGTCCAGGGTTCAATTTCCCAGGTCATCCGGAAGCAGCAGAAGTGGTAGAACGGTGTAATCAATCACTAAAAGTAATGATATTCAAGTTAGCGAAAGATCGATCACGAAGCTGGATTTGTTTGTCCCCGATCTATGTTTATACGGATCATAATCCGTTGACATATTTGACAGAAACTGCTCCAAAAAGTTTGAAATTGATGAGATGGGTGCTAGCCTTGCAGGAGTATGATCTGCATATCAAATACCGGGCGAGAAGTAAAAACATCGCGAATATACTAACAAAGATGATGGTGACAGAAGAGGTGGCTGATGAGGAATGCCAGTAGGATGGGAGTGAATATTCCACCTCGTAGAATATTCAATTTTTGGGGGAGAGGTACGTCAGGGTTTTAGCTGCGACCAAAATAAAAATTAATATGCAAATGGTACGAATACATTAGGATATCAGTGATAGACCAATGGCAATGAAGCACGTAAAAATAGTAACCAATCCGCGGTGTTTACAGAATTGTTTAAATAAACACACCCGGAAAGTTTGAAAAGAAGGACAAGCGATAGTTCTGTTGGTGTTGGTGGAAGCTAGTCGGTCGTAGTTAGCGGTAGTTAAAACTCTCGAGGTA